TAACGCCTTTATATTGAGAGAAGACAAAAAAATATCATGACACTCGACACACTAACACTACAACCCTTTCGTCGAAGCTTCATGAGGCTCTGCGGAGCCCCGCTCGTTACGGCCAAACCTGGGCGACCGAGCACGCCCGTGAGGCGGCGTCGAGGCAAGACGTCACCTCACGCGAGGCCTAGGCCCGGCCACCTAAACCTGCTGGTTTTTTATAATAAAGTTTATTCCTCCTCCTCTTCGACTTATGAACGCTTACCTTTTGAAGTCCTGCTACTGTACTTGCCAGCTACCATGTTTTCTATGAATATGAAACTGATAGAATTTACTGTAGGAAATTGACTTAAATACATATAGTGCCTGTATTGGCTAACAGGGACAATTTTTAAACGAAGTTATTCGCAATACTCGTTTACTATTCAACTGCACTGTGACTAAACTCCAAACAAAAAAAATCGACTTGAAACAGTAAGACCCTTGCGAAGCGAGAATATTGAAAATTCGGGCGTATGTTGGCCGAGAAGCAGTTTCTAAAAAGCTAGTTCCACGGCGAAGTAGGCTTCCTTATATACCACCGGATAACCGAGCAAGTCGATCTTGATAGCAAAAGAGGAAGTTGGTATAGTTGGATCGCGTTCATGTCTTTTGTAACGTGCGTAAGTTGCGCGCGCATGTTTCGTTCTTATTTCTTCCATTTTTTCTCTGTCGCGCTTGAATAAAGCAACCAGTTGTCAGTCAGCACTCGTGTTGTTTAGACTTTCTTTGTACTTCGTCTCTGCGGTCTTCCAATATGATGGATCTTGACAGCTGAGAAAGCAGGCGCGTCAGGCCTGTAGCCAGGGGCGAGGGGGGTGTGCTCCAAAGCCTCTCCCCTCACTGAAATATGGATGAAAAGGGTTTATTTTACTGAGAAATAAAAATAAAAATAGGCGTTTCTAAAGTCTTCAACAAGTGAACTCTCCCCGAAATAAATTCCTGGCTACGGGCCTGAGATGCGCGAAAGTGAAATGAAAGCTGTTTTAGAAAGCGTATTGAGGGATGAACGAAAGTTTAAAAAGGAGAAAGAAGCCCGTTCATCTAATAATATATATCTGTCTCTGAACGCACGACGTGGCGTCACGGGTACACGACCAAGGAAGTAGAACGCTTAGGTCAATACTATAGCACACTTTCCACTATCCAGCCGGACGCGTGCAGACAGCCGCAAGTGTCGGGCATCCTCTGCGCGGTGGCTCGCCTCCTCTCTCTCTCGTGTTTGCTCAGCACCGATTCGCCGACGTTTTCAAACGGCGGTGTGTGACGAAATCACTCCAAAGTCTCGCGCGTTCTAGAGAAAGAGACTCGGCGACGCTGCCGCGATGAGAACTTTGTATTTGGGTCACCAGCTGCCTTGTGAGCCACCGATGCCTGCTTCGACGTTCTGAGCAGCACATTCGTCACCGCTTTCAAGGTTGTCGGGCACAATATTCGTCTCCTCGAAATAAGAGCCCCACGCCCGCGACCCCGTGGTTCCCACGCCGCGTCACTTGCAGCGAAGCATTTAGAACGACTCTGCGTATTCTTCAGTTGTCGGCTGTAACCGGTGAGTGATCTCTCATCGTATTCAACGCGATTCTGCGAACGTTGTTTGGCATCGTACAATTCAGCGTTGGGAGTACAGGTATAGATAAGTCTGACCTGTCAGAAATGTGATATGAATCAACTTGAGGTGGCGGCAACTTCATAAAGTACCGTTTTCTTTGATTTAGGGCTCTCAAACCACTTCTCCATTGAACAACGGTTAGCTCCTTGCGATATAAAACTTTCCATAGCGACAGACCTCCCACGACACCTAGAGACATTGATCCACCGACTTGGTGGATTGGAAGTAGCATACACAGACAGCTTCCTGCACAGGATACATCGATCCAACTCACCGGAATGCCATTGTGGTCATGCAGAAGAAAATGTTCGCCATAGTCTTTTGGAGAGCATTAAATACGCGAATGAAAGAGAAAAATTAAAGAACAAATTATCAAGTTTGGACAGACGGCCCCTCACAATAAAGAAACTACTTGGACCATGGCCTGAGATGCATCTCGAGAAAAAGGCAATAATCTTCCTGACAGACTTTTTAGTGGAAACCGGACTGCACAAGCGCCTATGACTGACAGCCAGAGATGGGTATTATATAAAATGTGGCCATGTATATACTGACATTAGATTAGTAAGGTGTGCGTGTAAGAAGTTTATGACTGTGTGAACAGCGCGAAAAAAACTGTGTATTGGCATGATATTTGAACTGGTGTCATTGTGCTATTATGTTTTTCTTTTCCGTATTGTTAATTTTTGGGTACCGTTCTGTATTATTATTTTATTTTTCGCTGCAGAACTTTGTGATATGCAGTAGCCGAGGCAATAGGCACCTTAACCTCTCCACAGCAAAACAGTTAAAACAGAACAGAACAGAGGTGACGGCACGAAGCACTTGTCCACTCTACACTCCACGTGCTTCGCGAGTTTTTGTCCTTTTTAGAGCACAAGGAAACAAACGAACCTAAAAACAAATCAAGCAAAACAAACAAAGGAAATAACCAGGTAAATTTCAGCACGAAAATATTCCTTGATTCCGAGGTTATTTGAAGCGGCCTACAAAAATAATAAATGACATGTTTGCCAATCGAGCAGAAATCGAGAGGGTTCATCGAATAAAAACAGTATATATATTAACACGGAGATGCAAAAATAATCCTTGGTCGGAAGTTCGCGCGCCTATACCAATGACAATCATAATGTTATCATCCGAAGTTTCGCGTGCCTAAACCGAAGCGGAGAACGAGAAATTTCGACCACCTGGTACTCCTTAACGGGCAACGATATCGCACACTCCACGGGACTCTAGCATTTAGCCAGCATCAAAATGCTAGTGCCGTGACCAGAATCGAACCCACGGCCTTCGGGCCGAGCACCGTAACTGCTACACCACCATGGCGGACATCGCTAATATTCAGTTGGTAAGATTTTTGTACAGCTCTTGGTTTTAGGGGCGAAGCTCTTAAGGCGTGGGTCTGTCCTTCCTCCGTTGTCATACGTGGCCACCGGTGGCACATACCCGCTCTAGGGTGGTTATGTGCCACAGGGGATGCGAGATGGCGGTACTAGGAATGTTCACTAGATGGACGCACGGACGAACGGACAGACAGACTAGAAGATGGACGGACAGATGGGCGGACGCATGGACAGACGGTCGGACGCAAGGATGGACGGAAGCAAGAACGAACGGACGGACGGGAACACGGACGGGCTGACAGACACTTCACTCCACTCATCACCATTCACTCCGTGGATATGCTGTGATTTTAAATGTGAAGCATTTCTAAGTGAACTTCGGTGACTTTGGGCGTATCTATCTATCTATCTATCTATCTATCTATCTATCTATCTATCTATCTATCTATCTATCTATCTATCTATCTATCTATCTATCTATCTATCTATCTATCTATCTATCTATCTATCTATCTATCTATCTATCTATCTATCTATCTATCTATCTATCTATCTATCTATCTATCTATCTATCTATCTATCTATCTATCTATCTATCTATCTATCTATCTATCTATCTATCTATCTATCTATCTATCTATCTATCTATCTATCTATCTATCTATCTATCTATCTATCTATCTATCTATCTATCTATCTATCTATCTATCTATCTATCTATCTATCTATCTATCTATCTATCTATCTATCTATCTAGCCGCTTACGTTTGGGTGCTCTCGTGGTCAACCCCTTAACTTGGCGTGAACCAAAATTAGCATGGGAGTGTAAGATGGTTTGACGAATATGACGCGCTGCTCAAAACTTCAATATTGTCACAATCCCGCCACGTACGTCGTCAAACACGTCCCACCAGACAGTGGCACATACCCACGGGCGGTTATGTGCTGCTGGTATGCGGGTATGTGCCACAGGTGATTGACACTTGGTATCTGCCCAGGAACGAAGAGAACACACATGGGCAATTTTAACGTGAGTGCGTTATGAAATTACCGAAATCGGTAGCGTCAACCAGATGAATGCAAAGAATAAATGTGAGGGTCCCAGCTGGAATCAAATCCAAGCATTCTGCGTGGCAATAAAGCATTTTACCACAGAGCTAGGCCAGGTCTCGAAACTAATTTTCAAATAGACGTTAATCTTCGTGAAACGTCAATAGTGGTTGCAGTGCTGACTACCCAATTTTATAAACATTACGCATGTGCTCCTTTCATACATACGTCACGTTGGGTTAACGTAAATTGTGGTTAGTTGACATGCGCTGAAGTTGATTAATGTAGCAGTGTTTAGGGCCAGCTTCTTCGCGAGCATCAGCGCTTCATATCAGCTTCTTGTGTTGCTAATACGTATGTTCCAGTTGGCATCGTTGCGCAAGTTCAATTACTGGTTATATGAACATCTGGAACTCTTCAACATATGTCTCTGCGAACAACGTTTGTACATATATTTAGCGTCATTTCATGACGTGTCAGACATTTAATAAATTGAAGCACGGTCAGCTTCCCTACGCATGCTTCGCATAACGTCGATTCCCAGGTACGTGGGATCTGCAGAATTTTTTTTCTTTTTTTACATAGTTCAGTCTCTGTGAATATTCACGGGGTATACTTAATGCAATAGTGCATGTGCAGTGTGGAGCACACGTGTTTCCTTTTAAGAATCATCCATACTGTAGGACGATAAGCTGCTTGGTATCCAGAGCTTCTATATAGGTTAGGTTCAAGTGCTGTGGCGTTTGTACAAATCAAGCTGTTCAAACTGAGCAGGCTCCGCTCAAGTACACACTACGTACAGCTGAGCTCTGGTTATCAGATAGTTCCTTAAATTTTTGCAGTTTATCCAAACACATAACAGAAAAGAAAACGATACAAAAAGGAAAAGATAAAGCGTTCGTTGAGTGCACGGACACGCGTGCAAGGCATGTGTGTGATAAGAGCGCCTGCTCTGCAGTCTCGAAGGGCGGCGAGAGTTACGGCTCCTGTTTCCGCGCAATCACCTCATCCCGAGGTCCCCTGGGGACATCCTCGGAGCGTGAGATACCGCGCAGCTCTTCCATCGTCTTGTAGCAACACTGAGCGTCGGCTGTAGGATTGCTGCTTCGTCCTCCGCAAAGGTAATCACAATCACTATGTCCAACGTGCTTCTTAAAGAACGAAGTAACAGAATTTCGTAGGGCTCGTTTCTTTTTGTTCGACACAACCTTAACGAAATTCAGTAGATAATCAAACACTAATGTTCCTTACAGCTGATTCAATAGTGGCGTACCATTACCACCTACGAACTACTGTTCGCTAAAAGAATGTCACTAACGCTGCGTCTTCGCAATTGTAGCCCTAGTCTGTCAAACGTCTGCTCTTCTTCCATATGCTGCCGAGTAATGAGCAAGTAATAATTCTACGAAAAAGCTCCCCCCTCCCCCCCCTCATAAAAGGGCGTCATGACCTTCCAGAAGAAATGCAAAACAAACGAAAGTTCATCAAGTTTTCTCATTCTTGAAAATATACTTATTTAAGTATCAAATCCCACATACCTTGAGAATCGATGTTGTGTGGAGCATGCGGATTTAAGACTTGTTGGGCGAGTTAGTAAACATATACTATATCAGAGAAAAGAATTAAGAAGGAGCTGAAAGGTCGGGCGCCCGGCCTTTCTGCTCCCTCCTACTTCTTTACTCTGATCTATATGTTTTTCCAGTTCGCGCTACTATGTACCCTAATGCGGATTTAAAATGGATGTGTTGTAATTTTTTTAGCAAAATGTTACGCAGTCGAGCTAAAGATATGCACTAATGCACGAATACACATACGTTAAATGTCCGCATATGTTTTGCATAATCAGTTGTTTGCAGTTGCGTGATGATGCCAACAGCAACATAAGAATCATAGCAACACCAGAAGCGGAGAGCTGATATGAAGCGCCGGTGCTCGTGAGGATGGTAACCACTGACACTGCTACGTAACTCAACTTGAGCGAACGGCGCCTGAAATTGATGTTAAACCGACGTGACAGCTACATCAAAGGAGTACATATGTAATTTTCATAAAATTGAATAGCCAGCACTGCAACCATAATTAAATTCTGAGACGTGGCGTGGCTCAGTGGTAAAATACTTGATTGGCACTCATAATGATGTGGTTCGATTCTCGCTGGGACCCTAACATTTATTCTTTGCATTCATCGGGTGAAAGCTGCCGATGTCAGCTTTTTAAACGCCCACGCGTTAAAATTACCCGCGTCGGTTGTCACAATTTCTGGGCATATATCATCTGTCAATCACCTGTGGCACATATCCACATAGCTGTAGCACAGTCCCGCCCGCGTGTATGTGCCACACATCTGACGGAAAGGGCATGACGACGTACGCAACGGGACTGTGACATTACTCATGTCATGACCAGCGAGTCATATTCGTCAAACCATCTTATACTTGACGCTGAGCTGTCTACATTTCATGAATAGCTGGGTAATTGTGGTCGCTTTGGAATACAGCAGCAGCTATGGCTCGTTTGTTGGGGTTTTTTTTGGACTGGGAGGTGCATCGGACTATTGGGTAAAACATTATTTGCATGCGCATTCTGTGTTAAGTATGAGTAAAACTTCACATTTGCCGAAACACGCACGCAGTGGCGGGAGGCGCGGACAAGATGGCTCCCAGCGTGGAAGCTTCGAGCGGGGACCGTGAGCCCCTTCCTCCTCTGGTGGTGGTGATCGGTGCCGGAAGCAGCGGACTGCCCACCGTCAAGTCGTGTCTCGAAGAAGGACTGCGCGTCGTGTGCCTGGAGCGCACGGGCGGCGTGGGCGGCCTGTGGCGCTACACCGAGGAACCCGTGGAAGGCTGCGGCAGCGTGGCCCGCAACACGATGCTCAACAGCTCCAAGGAGTTTTCCGCCTACAGCGACTTCCCGCCGCACGCCAGCTGCCCCAATTTCATGCATCACTCCGGCATGCTGGAATACCTCACGTAAGCACGGGATGCCTTCGTTGCCAAGCAGCTTTGCAGTATTAACTGATTCGGAAGAACAGGCACGTTTTCACGGTTGTCAGCAGTGACTATTGGCGTAAATCAGGGAAGGAAGGGAGTCAGAGGGGTCCAACCCTCTTTGTCTTCAGGCTGGGGACACACCACTTGCAAGTGTCCTGCTTTGAGGTTTAGCTTTAGAACATCTCATATTGCAGTCAAGTATGGAACATGGAACATTCAACTTTTTTTACGGCTGATTATTTTTAAGTTGCACCTGTGTTCAGTAGCCTTCAGCTGTGGGAGACTATGGAAACCGCCAAAACCGCTCAATTAGTTCAAAGAGCATTGAGCAGTACAATGCAATTATTTTAGATGCGGAGCATCTTATACTCGCGCCTTGTAGTGCGCCGTCCGCGCCGTCCGCACCGCTTCTCGAACATTCGACAGCTGACGCGCGCGCATGCGCCGTCGCGCCGTCGCCCACTCTTCCACCATCTGTGCATCCCTTCCTCCTCTACACACCGCGCGCGCTTCACTCCTCCACCATCTGTGCACCCTTCCTCCTCTACACACCGCGTTCGACATCTACAATTCTCCTGATTCTCCAGTGGACGCGCATGTGGCGTTGCGCTTCGAGAACATTCAACAGCTGACAGTGCATGCGCCGTCGTGCTGTATATATACTCAAGGTCGGCGCTCGCTCGCTCAGTTGCCGCTCGTCGGTTGGTTTGTACGGCGCGTCGACGTCCAAGGTCACGGTGAAATGAATTCCAACGAATCCACAAACACAATGATCGACGTCCCTTCGACCAGCGCCACCCTTTCGCATACGTGTGTACGTGTTCACTCATTTAACACCCCCTCCTACAACCACGTTAACCAATTTAGCCATCGACCCAAGTAAGTCGCAATTTAACACCCCATTTCACAACCACGTTAACCAATTTAGCCATCGACCCAAGTAAGTCGCACTTTAACACCCCGTTAACCAATTATATGCTCCGCATCCTCCTCAGTGTTCCCCCGAGGGAAGCTGCGGGCAATTTTTGCTCGGACTTTATTTCGAAACGTAATTAAACTTTTATGGAATTAAAATACGACTCATATTGAAAAACGCAAGCAATATGGCCGCCGTGGTCTGATCTGTGTTTCCCCTTGTGATTTTTTTCAACTTTCGCAACTGGCAGTGATGTAGCGTTGACGAGAAAAATTGGCAGCCCATGCTGGTAACGCTGAGGAGAATTCAGGAATATGGACATGTATTCAGGAGGCTCTTTATTCAGGAGGCTCTTATTTTAATGTATTTAGTGGTCAGCCGCGGTGGCTATACTACACTCGGATACTGGCCCGGGATAAGCTGCGGGTTAGGTCCCGGTGGCGGCCGGTGGCCGCATATCGATGGAGTCGAAATGCTACTGTGCTTTGTCCGTGCTCGTTAAATGATACCAGATTTCTAAGGTTACGGAGCCCTCCACCGCGGCGTCCCTCATCATATCGTGGTTCTGACCCGTCCGAATCCCCCAAGTTATTTATGCGTCATTAACGCAATAGGCTAAAACACTATCAACGCTTTTGCAGTTTTAAGCTCATATACACGAAATGGCACAGTGTGTTACTTGATTCCTACAGCCGTATACGCTCTCCGTTATCGATTTTTGTACAATCACGGCTGCAGCGAGTACGGCGACGTGTTCTGTAGAGAAAACTGATTTTGTGTTCTGTGCCCGTTTTTTCCTGCTTCCAATCGCTCTGGAGACGACCTTGGTTCATCCCACGCAGTTATCTGTCGCCATCCGCTTCAAGTGTTTGCAGAACCGCGGCCCTGTCGCTGAGCGAGTGTCGTATTTCTTAACAGTTGACATTTGTGTTGTAAGCTTCAGTTCGAGACTTCAAACTCACGGCCCTGTTGTACGAAGTGAAGTGTCTTTCTTTGGAGGTTGTTCGACGTGACAGGTGTGCCATATTTCAAGAAGCTGTCATTCGTGAAGTCAATACTGAATTCATCATGCGCTGAAAGTTGGAGACGTTGTAGCATAAAATAAAACGCCAAAAAATTGCATATTGATTTATCTGTTTAGCTAGGCAATGATGTGGCGCATTTAAGGAAACGCCCTAATGAAAGCAGTTTATAAGGAGCATCTGGGAAAGCTTGAGTGAGTTAGCGTCTACTCTAGCTTGTTTGCTTTTCTTTATATTTTAGAAAGGGGGGGGGGGAGCGAAGCTCTTTAGGCTTGCACAATGTCCGCTGTCGCCGTCGTCGTGCGTAGATCCCAGTCGACCGAAACACAGGTGTTACATGTATCGTACATGGAGGGTTCATAGGGTGCATATGGTATAAAAATAGACCGTACTCTGTCCGTACATCTGTCTGTCTGGCCGTCCACGCATCTGTCCATCTGTCCATCCGTTCTTGCATTCTTCCGTCCGCGCATAACGGACAGACCGTCCACATGTCCTTCCATTTGTACATCCGTGCATCTGCCCATCCATCCTTGTGTCCATCCGTCTGTCCTTCCGTGCATCAGACCGTCCTTTATACAAGTCGGCGACTTCAACATTGGCATTATGAATCTTAGAACGTAGCATCGCTCCATCATCAGCATTTACTTTGTGGATCAGCTGGCAATTTTTCGATGCCCTTTGCAAAAGAGCGTTTGTTCAAATGCCTCATACAGGAGTGATTCCGTCATCTAAACGCTCGCAAGGCGTTTCTCCTTTTTAGGGGTGAAGTGTTTGTCCTTTCTAGGGGTGATTTTCTCCTTTTTAAGGGTGAAGCTCCTAAAGCCGTGGGTTTGTCCCTCCTAGCTCATACGTGACCGCCTAGTTCGATGACTCACTCAGCAGATGCCGATGGAGGAATGGACAGATGAACGGACGGACGGATGAATGGACAGACAGACAGACAGACAGACAGACAGACAGACAGACAGACAGACAGACAGACAGACAGACAGACAGACAGACAGACAGATAGACAGACAGACAGACAGACAGTTGTACACACGGGTGGACAGACAGACGGGTGGACGGACAATTCAAGTTTTATCGGTGAAACCCTCCGAAGCATCACCCCACCCATCATCGTTCACTCCGTGGATATGCTGTGATTTTTTCTTTTGTTCTTTTAGTAGTGTTGACTCTTCAGACGGCAGAATTGGGCTCATGCTCAGATGTGTGCGAGTTAGAACTCGTTTCTTCATGATCACCGCCTTCTAAGTACGTAAAAAATGTATTCATTTGTGAGCAATCGTAATATTGGGGAGGTGAAATTTGTTCTCGCAATATGTCCGTTTATCATCAAATTAGAAGAATACCATTTGAAAAGAGGCTAGTTTTACAAAAGCTATGTGGAAAAAGAAGTCGACTTTGTAAACGGTGGATATAAATGCCAGCATTGGCGTGGGCAGGTTTTGTTTGCATGCTAACGCTACGAGAGAGGGTGCTGAAAGGTCTGTAGGTCACTTCAGAACTGTTCGGCTGCAGTGGACGACAAGATGTATGCTAGGCTAAGCCTCTATAATAACAGTGACAACTAGTTTCGCTGCGCATCAAAGGTTGCTTGTAGCTGCTGATATCTAGTAACTGGTGTACAGAGCATAAACCGGTAACGCCAAGACAAGAGCGTGGTGAGCTTTGTCGTTTCAGCAGAGAAGATGATAATCGGTTTGCTGGGTATGTGGGTGCAAGGTGGGGTGGAGTGAAATTTCGTTGCGTACACCGCATCACTTCCCACACTTATCCATTCACGACGACAAAATGGATAAGGAAGTAGTTGAGGCCTTCATCATTGCTATAGCAGTGACTAATGCGTAAGCGCGTCTTGGCTGACAAGCTTTCCAAGGAACTGCAATATAGATTCTTGATGGTTTTGTGTAATCACATCTAGTGGCTGTGTTGGACAGAGCGTATTTACCAGATTCCAGGGTAGGTGCATGCCATTGCCGGCCACTCTTTTATTCTACCTATCACTTTCATCAATATTTATTGCTTGGCGTTTGCCCTGTATTCTCTTGATATGGTATATTTGTTGTTGTTGTTCTATAGGCAGGTGTCACGCTGATGCTTACTTTATTGGCATTGAGCTGCTTTGGCTTTTAGTTTTACAGTCGAAGTTTGGGCCCGTCCTCTGTACTTCACTATACGTCTGGGTTTTTCGTGAAACTATGCAAAATTTGTTTAAGAATGCTCCAACTATCCCAAACAAGAGCTTTACCGCGGCGTTGAACGTGAATGTACATGCATTTTTAACTTCAGGCAGTACAGCAAACACTTTGACCTGGACTCGCACATCCGTTTCAACCACGTTGTGGAGTCCGTGAGGAGAACGTCAGCCGGTGAAGTGGACGCTGGTGGCGGGGATGGCAGTGAGCGTCGCTGGACAGTGTCCGGTCGAGACAAGACCACGGGCCAGAACTTCACGTTCCACGCGGACGCTGTGGTAGTGTGCAGCGGACACCATGCTGTGCCAAAGTGGCCCGATTTACCGGGCCTCCGAGACACAGTTCCGCGGTCGCGTGGTGCACGCGCGCGAATACCGGAGGGCGTCCATGTTCGAGGACCGCCGCGTGCTGGTGCTAGGCATGGGAAACTCCGGAGGGAGACATCGCCGTCGAACTGAGCTACGTATGTCCGCAGGTGAGAATGCATGCGCGCTCGCAGCAGTTCTTAATATATGTGATTATCGCTTGCTCTTTAACACGAACATAAAACCATCGACAAAGCTCGTATGCCCCATGAGCACAATATAAAGAAGCCCCTAACAGCTACTACCGAATTCAAAGACGAGAGTATGGTTTCCTTCGCGCCTTCATTACCCTTGCTAAAGGTGCTATCTTTTCCTAGCCATGTATTTATTCAGCAAAACACGCGGACAATGCGTTGAACCTATCAGCATTTCATGCTTTACGGCTTCACGCTTATCACAGCTTGCGCTGTCGAAAACGCACAAAATGAAGTGAAATTATTTGACCGCAAAGATTATACATGCGAGACAGGACGTAACTAGCGTGCGACTGCATGGCGAACGAAGAACGAGGCAATTCACATCTGATATCCCTCGTGCATAGATTAATAGTGCTTATTTCCGCATGGCGACCCGTGAACAGACTGCAGCATCACAAAAATGCGCCGGAAATACAAGAAATGCCAAGAGAAAATAAAACGTTTTTTTTAAATTTGGCAGGTTCGTAAAGCGGCCCTTTAAAATTGTGATTGAAATCCTGTATATAGCAAAAATGCATGCATTGCAGCCTATGCGTTTAATCAGCAGGGGTAGTAGTGGTAACCTTTAAAGACTTGATGCCTCACAATATCTAGGGTTGTTAATGTCAAATTCGGGACTTACTTTTGGTTCATCATGACGCGAAATCGCGATTCTTCACACTCACATCGCTAACGCTAATTGAACTGAGTGGAAAAACTCATTACGCTTTATGTATGCCCGTGCGTGCTTCTGTGCGTCTACATGTACGCCAGCAAATTCAACATTTTCGAGAATAAAGTTTAACCCCCCCCCCCCCCCCCCCCCCCCTGCCGCCCGCCCTACACTACGCCACTGACAAGCACAATCCTATGAAAACTCGGCCATTCATCTCTGTTATAGAAACTGAAGTAATACTCGCACTCGAAAATTGCACCGGCGTTCTCGAAAGCACGAGCGCACACTCACGGAGCACGTTTGTGCGCAGGTGTACATGAGCACCCGACGGGGGACGTGGGTGGCTCCTCGTCTAGCACCCGGTGGTCTTCCCATGGACGTGACCATGTGCACCCGTGCTTTGAACACGGCTCGCTCGCTGCTGCCTTTCGACATCGGCGCTCGCACCTTCGAGAGGGTCCTCAACAGCCACTTCGACCACAAGATGTACGGCCTCAAACCGGCGCACCACGCCATCAACCAGCAGCCTTTCGTCAACGACGTGCTGCCTTCCAGGATACTCACCGGGACGGTCCAGGTGACTCACGATAGCCTCGCGAGGTGGTTTTGAAACACCTTCATGGTCACGACCAAATGAAACCCACAGACAGTTAGGCCAAGGAAAGCATAGGTGTTTTGTCGCGCGTATCTCAGAGGCCACATATCAAAAAGCGTGTGGTTGAGATCTGCACCGTGAGTAGCAACCATTCCAGCTGCTCTCGATAAAACTCTCTGCTCTTTCAATGAATCATTCAATTATTTTTGATTAATTACCAGGGCAGTTCATTTGGTTTTGTCTTTTTTTATTGAAATAGAAAATAAACGAAAGAGTTTTTGTCACCGTTACTTGGCGACGGCTACCCCTTTCCACTTGATTGTTGCAAACAGAAAATAGAAAAAAAACAAGATAGCGTATATCACAAGTATTTGATCCTTCGTTATCATATAACGTGGTGGTTTTAGTTGAAGATTCTGTTCAGGTTGTCCCATTAGTACGTTTATTTGGTGTTAAATGACTATGCGTTATACATGGAATTTAGCCAATATAACTCCTAACATGAGCCAGAATAGTTGATTTTGTTCTTTTGAATACCTTTTCTGAAAGTTCAGAAAACCGAAAGCAAGGACTAGACCGGATGTGCTTGTAAGAGAAACAAGAGTGGCACTTGGCGCTCGCGCCACAGATAAACGATTGAACCTGGCCTCATGACACTGGTGTCTTGCGTGCAGATTCGTGGCAACGTATCCCGGTTGGGCCCAGACTACGCCGAGTTCCGTGACGGCTCGCGGGTCGTCATCGACGACGTCATCGTAGCGACGGGCTACTCCAAGCACTACCCGTTCCTGCCCCCCGAGGTGGCTCCGTACGTGCTCGATGACCGCGTCGAGCTCTACAAGTTCATCTTTCCCGTGGGGGACCCGAGCGTCGCCTTTGTGGGACTGGTGGAGCCCATTGGCGGGTTCTGGCCGGTGGCCGAGATGCAAGCACGCTACGTGGCCCGAGTGCTGTCCGGAAAGCTACAGCTACCAGACGTTGAGAGGCAGAGGAAAGAGGCAGCACGCAGAGCGTCTGCTTTAGCAATCGACAGCGCCCGCTATGCCGCGCAGGTACGTTGCGGAAGCAAAACAACAAAGCAGAAGCCCTTCTCGGGAACTATCGGGAGAGCGGAGACATCATAGGCTTGGTGTTTGCATGCCTGAGCTATTTCTCTCTCTCTCTCTTTCTTTCTTTCTTTTTTTCTTTCTTTCTTTGAAGACGGTGCGTACAAATACGTCCTCTTTATCTCTTGATCTCTATCTACCGGTGAACTCTTGTGGTCCGCATTTACGCTCCCCGGCGCCGGGTTTTTAAAATACGACGCCGCCACAGAAATCTGTGAGCCATAAGCTTCGTGTGACAAAATTTTTACACTCCCTACTTTATTTTGGTTGTTCTCACAATTTCATTTATTTACCTAAGGGCTGGCTGCTTCAGGACAAAGCGCTACAGTAAGGGCTTTTCCATAAATGTTTTGTTAGCTGCTGCAGCCCAAGAGTAAATGAACGGAATGACAAGTGGCTGACCGTAATGCTTCTTCATCCCTACACGAGCACGCAAGGCAACCTCATATTAGCGGCAAACCTTGGCGTCTCTGGAAGTCCGATAATCGCTGGGACAGAAAAGGCCGACAAGGCAAGATAAGCGTATGCGAGGGTGTACGTGAGAGGGAGAAAGGGGAGAGAGATAAAGTTAGCCACTACTGTCGCCATTGATATTTGGCTATATTTTCAGTTTCTTCATTAGTCTTCATTGCACTGCCTCTCTCAATGAAACAATTTACCGAGAAAGCCGCGACTAACGACATTATGCGGATAGGTATACGTATTCCAGCACTCGACCAACGCTTGTCAAGCGTGGACATTGCACGGATGAAATAAAGCACACACTCACCTAAAGTAGCACGCTTGCTGAGCCTTAGACATGTGACCGTCTTGTTACGACCATATTTCAACACATCCTTCACGCCCTCGTTTTGTTCTACTCACCTGCCCACAGGTTCATTGGATAGCGTACATGGACGAGCTGGCCAGCATACTCGGAGTGAAGCCCAACCTGAGCCGTTTGGCGATCACAGACCCAGTGCTTTACAAGCGATGCGTGTTCGGGCCCTGCTTACCTTACCAGTTCCGGCTCGAGGGACCGCATTCGTGGGAAGGTGCTCGCGAGGCGGTTCTCGACTTCCCCAAGCGCGTAGCCTCCGTTCTGACTCCCCACACGGCGCCCGAAGAGACAAGCCTTCGCAGAGCCACCGCTGGAGCCATCGACATAGCAGCCACATGCACAGTCATGATCCTTATAGCTTACGTCCTTTCGCTGGCCATATGAAAGGACGTAACGTGACGCGTATTTCCATTAACTAATGTGAGGAGAGGAGGCTGATATAACTGCGGCCAGATATTGCGTTGCATATGCGTTAGCATCCAATTGCTAGCCCGAGTGGTGGTGGACCTGTTGAACGTAAAACGCGGCGTGGAGAAGGACAAGATAGACGTGGGGATTGCGTGATTTATGGGAGCTTTCTCCAATGCTCAACGGAGCTGTTGTTGTTTGTTTGCCAGTGCTGCTTTTCTCCCGTCGTTTTAGAGGGTCCAATTGCTCCCCCTGCTGGAGTCGGACTACCAGGCGAGCCGCTGACAGCAGTCCCATACATTTTCTCACATTAAATCACATCTAGATTGCGAAGAATTGTAACACACGAAAGCTTGACAATTTCGGATGTCGCGGCTGTCCCCTTTAACCACTGCATGACCACCTGTTGGGGGGAAAAACTGCAGGTGAAAGAGCACGGTGGCTAACACGTTAAGGAGGGCACACTTTTTTGTGAAGCTACCAAGAAAGCAGCAATACGGGAGCCAAGCCAAGACGGGTAAGACGACCGACCAAAACCAAGTGAACTTGGTGGATTGAGGCTACTTTCTGCACCATGAGCTCATCATTTCAGCTGAACAGGCGCTTTGTGTAACATTTTCAGTTTCTAGTCGCCCAGAAGTTGGAAGCCATGAAGCAACTCTTCGGAAAGTGCCACATCGACCTTGGTTAGCGCTGTATCACATTTATAGGTTGCAGTTCTTGAAAGAAGACATGAATTACATGTTACGATAATAGGCTAGATGACGAACATCGTTGCGATGGCAGCTGATTTCCACGTTTCCGCTTCAGAACTGACAATGACATGAAGTGTGTGTGTCACTTATACGGGTCCGCAATTCTCGTATGTAACTATGCAGTGTTACAGTTTTTATATTAGTAAATACTGTTGGCCATTTAGTGCAGCTTTATTGGGATATAACCCTTGTAAAATATAGCCTATATAGTAAAGGTGCACGTAAAATAAATTATTGCCGGTGCTATTATAGACCGCATGGACGGGTCGTTTGCACACTGAGGTGCACTTCTGACCCTAACGAACAACGGGACACATATGAATGCCTCCTAAAAACGGTCTGGTGACGCTGTGTTTGGATAAGCACCGAAAAGCGGGATACCGTTCCGACAACGTTATTACAGAACTGCTGACTGTTTGCCAGCTTTTGTTTTTACGCCAATTCGCGATGATCACCTTTTGATTCACTTCCATCGCTGTAGCTACACAGCTGTTCGCAGAGCTCATAAGTGCGATAAATTGATAAATGAACTCGCGGCATAATTCCTGAAGGCTGTTGCTGCGCGCGAATATGACTTCTAATCAAAGAAAGTTAACCGCGGATGGCGCAGGCATACTGTTCTGAGCTGAAACTGAATTCACTTATGCAATGCACGTATCCTTGATGGTTGAAGCGCCACTGCCAGATTGCTGCCTTGTTTCGAATCCTTATATATATATATATATATATATATATATATATATATATATATATATATATATATATATATATATATATATATATATATATATATATATATATATATATATATATATTTATTTATTTATTTATTTATTTATTTATATGAAAGTGCAAAGGAGGGGTAGCGAATGAGGTGGAACAGTGGGGCGACGGTGCGCGGTTGCTGACCCAAAAGTCTTGGGTTCGAATCCAGCCGCGGCGGTCGCATTTCGATAAAGCTGAAATGGTAGAGGGGCGATGTAAGTGCACGATAGAGAACACCGATAGGGAAAATTTCCGAAGCCTTCCACTACGGCGTTGTTCATAACCACCTCAAGGTCTTGGGACGTAAAACCCCAGATATGCCAATAATCTTGAGTAATCTTAGAGCGATGGTGCGGAAAATACCGAATACACAAGAGGAAAAAGAAGGGTGTGCGATCTTTTGCGCATCCCCGTTATACAATGAATTAACAACTCGCCCAGCAGTCCGTCCTTCTAAACGTAACTAAGTTGCGTTTGAAACTACCTAGAAACATGAAACTGTGCCACTCCGCGAATGTCGTCTCATAGCTCCCACGAAGATTTGTGCTTCGTGTGCGTTCTCCGTGAGATGTTCGCGATGTATGTACTTGAATTACAGATGAGTTTATCCAGTGCATTACAAATAGTCCGGTTATATGTGGATGGAGTTTTTTTTTTCATTTTATTCCAAACGAACGAGAAGTTGCAAGTATATATGATGAACTAAACGGTGTATCTCGCCCAAAGGTTGTTGCTACTTGGCTGATTTGCTTGTAAAACACAAGGAACCGTTGCTATGCTAAAAAATGCCCACCTCATCCTTTCTCGATGTCATAAAAGGGTAAGATAATCAATTTATAACGCAACAACTTCATCGAAAGCAAAAAAAGAAAAGCGTCCCAAATTGAGGTTGAGGTCAGTAAGAACGCAGAAACCTGCTGTATATGCGTGAGATGGGCGACCAAGTCACGGAAAATGTTTAATCGCAAGTGTTGGCATTCTTCGTTATTTAGGTTTAACGGATGATTTGAGGCATGCAGATTGCCGGCTGCAACCACAACAAAAGTATAGCTCATCAAGCAGATATAAATGAGATATCAGGACATATGTGACAATGACAATTTTCTGCAGCCGCCAGTTTACGCCAAAAAGTCAGGCACTCCTGCCGCTTTAAATAGTCGACGGACCACAAATGTGTGTGTATTCTGTTAACCGTATACGAAGAGTTGTTATTGTACCTCTCATATTAAGCATGCCAATAATGCTAGAGTTTTGGCTCGGTTACAATGGCAAGTAATTTCGAAAATGTATTGGGTACACGCGATTGCTGTAGTGGCAGTCATGGTTCCTTGGTGTGATGAGACAAAACATTGGCTTTGGCAGAAAATCGCTTCAGGGTAGGCACGACCTTGATCTAGAGCGGGGACCGTGCAGGTAAGTCTGGTCGAGTGTCATTTCTTGCTCCGTGTCCCGTGAAAGAAAGAAATTTTCGGAGGGGCACGCGCGCTTTGTCACCACCACGGCTGCACCACTGATACAAGGCACCATCGGCGTCAAATGAAACCCGAACAGTGGCAATCCTTCGTGATGGTATAGTGCGTGCCCTCCACTTATCACCATGAAACGACACTCATTTATGCCCAGAGATGCCGAATAGAATGCGCGCTCCTGTCAATGGTGATATCTAGACGGCTCGCACTATACTGTCGCGAAGGCTTGCAGCTGTTCGGGTTTCATTTGACGCCGATTGTATCTTGACCATTCACCACGAAGTCGTGAACAGATTCACTGAATGCACAAAGTTAAGCTTAGCACGAATCGCTACGTTGGGCAGAATAAAAAACAAAAAAAGAACCCTTTTTCTGGCAACAGGCTTCGGCATTTCTTAAGATGTACGAACTCGATTGATCTTTCTTATAATTGTGAGGCGCGTTGCAATAATCGCGCATTATAGTGGCCTAACCGGTTCCTCGAAGTAGGTCACCGCTGTCGAGCAGGTTGCATACGAGCCCCGTTGTACAACGCAGCGGGCAGCTGTGCTTGTGGTGTAGTGGTTATCACATCCGCCTAACACGCGGAAGGTCCCAGGTTCGATCCCTGGCAGGCACAAGGCATTTCTTTTTTTACAGTTTCAAAATACGCCATTGAACAAAGACTCATTCGCGAGAGCCGTGTACAGCTGTGCTTGTGGTGTAGTGGTTATCACATCCGCCTAACACGCGGAAGGCCCCAGGTTCGATCCCTGGCAGGCATAAAGCCTTTCTTTTTTACAGTTTCAAAATACGCCATTGAACAAAGACTCATTCACGAAAGCCGTGTACAGCTGTGCTTGTGGTGTAGTCGCCATTCCACTTCCGGCTTTCGAGCGATACGGTCGCGGAATGTTCGGCTCCGACGGAGCGGTATCAGCGGCCCGAACGGGTCGCGGTAACAGGGTTTTTGCGCCTAGCGCCGACGATTATCAGGTGATTTTGCCCAATCTGCCTTCCGGACGCATCGCTGCGAATGCCGTTTTCATGCATGGCGATCCGAGAGCCCGGCCTTACCGCGTCGAAGATTACCGGGACACTTTGGCCAAGCTTGGTGCGCTCGACGACGTTTTGGCGTTGGGGGCGTATCAAATGAACCACGTATGGGCTGTGACACTGACGAGTGCTGAGGCTGCTCGGAAGTTACTCTCCGCCATCGATGTGAAGGTAAAGGATCGCCCATGTTTGCTCATTGACCCAAATAACCGCGAGGTTCGCTTGAAGCTTCACTGGTTGCTGCACGGCGTGACCGACGAAGACGTGCGTGTTGCCTTGACTCCCTATGGGAAAGTGTTCGAAGTGAAACGGGAGAAGTGGCGAGCACCGGGCATCACAGAAAAGGGCTCAACGACGCGGTCTGTGGGACTAAAGCTGCACTCCGACGTCAAGGTGGATGACATTCCGCACCAGCTCAAGATTGCCGGAGAGCTGACTCTCGTTGTCGTTCCGGGCCGTGCACCGTTGTGCCTACGGTGCAAGAGTACCGGTCACATACGTCGCGACTGCCGAGTACCCCGCTGCAGTCGTTGTCGCCGCTTCGGCCACGAAGACGACGACTGCGCGAAGACATATGCCAGTGTGACCGGACCAGCGCAGGAAAGTGATGCACTAGAGCACCTCATGGACGAAGCAGACTCGGAAGAAACAGCAGGAGTTAACCCAAACTCTGCCGTGGAAGATGGGTAGTCACGCTATGAAGAAGAGGGCGTGTGTGAAGCACCAGGTAAGCCCGACGCCGGGCTTCCATACGAAGGCGTAGGAGAAAGCAGTGAAAAGGTGAATGCAAGCACCACCGGCGACACGTGTCTTGGCTCAGCAGATGAGACCCCCTCCGATGCTGAACCGATGACTGGGATTGAAAGCGACAGTGGCATTGTGACGGGGAAGCGTCCCCGTGACGAAGGGAAAAAAGACAAGGCCACCACTGCTGCCTCGCCGGACGAACCACCCGCCAAAACGACTCCCGCTCGGCGGCCTATTATCCGGCCACGGCCAAACATTTCGTCGGAGCGCAAGACGGCGGAAACGCCGCCTTCGCCAACTTAAGGACTGTACTGGGACAAGGCGTTCAGGAAGGAATTGCAGTTGTAAGGTAAGCGCCATGCCCCTGGGTTTTTCGTAGCCTTACAATGGTGCAAATAGAAAATTCAATCCGTGTGGCCACTTTAAATGTGCGTGGCCTGGCCTCACGGAGAAAACAATGTCAGCTTTATCGGCTAGTAAGCGACCTCGACCTTGACATACTGGCAGTCCAAGAGACTAAAGTCCATGGCGACGATAAAACTGGGGGCATGGTGCGCCAATTCTTGCCGCGGTATTCTGTTATAGTTAGCCATGCCATAGGAACTTCTTCTGGTTGCGTTTTGTACGTCAGACAGAGTCGGGGTGCTAAAGTAGAAGCCTCAACGTCATGTCCGTCTGGTCGGCTCATTGTTTGTGATCTTTCGTTTTCGGGATTGGAATGGCGCGTAATATGCTTGTACGCACCGACTGTCACTGACGAAAGACGCATATTTTTCGAACAACTAAAGCAGTACACCAAATGTAATAGGCTCCTAATCATTATTGGCGATTTCAACTGCGTCCTTTCAGCCAAAGACAAAACTAGCGAACGACATTACAGGGATGCAAGTACGGCTGTCTTAAGCGATACAGTAAGAGAACATGGTTTGGAGGATGTGGCCGAATGTCTCGGTGGTGGCCGGACTATGCAGTACACCCACTTTCAGGCAGCCAGCCATGCCCGACTAGATAGGGCGTACGTGAGTGTTGAATTGGTACCGCTTTGCAAGGCATACCGTGTTAACGCCGTTTCATTTAGTGACCACTGCTTGGTTAGCTTTGTAGTAGCTAGCACGAAAGAAACGAAAAGGGCTGTCGAGTGGCAACTATGGAAATTGAATTCGAATCTGCTGAGTGATGAAAAATTTATGGAGGAAGTAATGACAGAAGTTGAAAAAATGAAAGTTCGCAGTAAAAACACGTTTAGAGAAAAATGGGAGAACTTCAAGCAGGTCGTTAAATTGAAGGCTTTGGAACGCTCGAGCGCTATAAGCAGAGAAAAAGGAGCAGAAGAAAAGCTCATGCGCAGAAACCTGGAAAAATTGCTCCTCGAAGAATGTAGAATGCCCGGCATGTTTCTTGAAGATATTCGCGCGTTGAAAAGTAAAATTGAGCGGTTCGATGTCGAA